GCCTCATAGCCTCTTGCACACTCCCTGTTGCCATGCAGTCTTGCGTCTGCTCTCTTCTGTCTTTCCTCTCCGGCACCATTTCAGGACTCTGTCTTGGCCACTTCGCTGTCATTTCGCATAACATGACCGTCACAGCGATTTTGTTTCTTTATCCTATTCCCAAGGATAAAATTTAAATTAGCACTACATTTCTCTTCTCTAGGTCTTCTTGATTCCTGTCACCTCTGCGCTATAACAGCAACTTCTTATGCTAGAAGTCCATTTCAAGGCCATCAGCTTCCTTTTTCTTTTATCAATCTCCCAAACTTCTAAACTGTATGTTGTAACACTCTTAACTAGCGAGGAGTAATGACGTCGTTTTTTAGTAGTGTTAGTGATGGTTTGTTCCCATAAGACAGAGTTTATAATTCGTGTAACGTTTCTCCCCAAGCTTATTCGTCTCTCAATTTCGTCATGGCTATTTCCCTTATTGTTAAAAAGTACATCAGGTATTTATATTGTTTACCCCTTTCATTTTTCTCTATTTTCCACAAGAAGATTTTTACATTTTCTACCAACTGCCAGGTATTCAGCATTTTGTCCGATATTAATATTTAGTCGCTGCTTTTAAAAATGTTCATTGAGTTTACGGATCATGAAACTCAAATCGTCTCATCTTCTGCACATTACTACCTGGTCATCGGCAAAATTAGCGGTAAACAATTTATCCTCTCCGATCGTCATTCCATTTATCTGCATTGTTTCTCCACTGCTGTAAAATTTGATGCAGACATATTTTAAACAGTGTTGGAGAAAGACAGCAACCCTGTTGCAACCGTTGCGGACTGGGAATGGATCCGAGAGCCTGCTGTAGATCTTAATCTGAGAGGTGTCTTATATAGATTCTGTGTGGCTCGCAATTAAGTTTCACTGATTTGAATCCATCCATTTCTTCCCATACTCTAGCACGGTACATTGTCATACGCCTTCTGAAGACAATGAAAGCCAGATAACTTCCGCTACTTCTCCTTGTTCTCTTTTCTATAAGTTGTTTATGTAAATAGATCGTCTATGACCGACTTGCCGGCAGTAAAACCACATTGTTCTCTCGCTATTTTCCTTTTTATCTCTCTTCTATTTATTCGTATTATTTGCTATACAGTCTACCTATAGATCCAATAACTGCGATTCCTCTGTAGTTTGTTTCATTGCCTCTAGATTCCTTTCTTATGGATTGTGTGTTAGGTAAGACATTCGCCACTCCTGAGGAGGGTTTCTCCATTCATGCACCTTGAAAACATGTGTTTGAGCATTTGGTGCAGTTTATAGGGACCATATTTCAGTAATACTGCCGGTATATCTCCGGACCAGGTACCTTATTGGATTTCATTCTTAAAGTGCTTTTTCTAAATCTTTAATTGTCAGATCTACCCTTTGCTCAAATTTAACTTCCTTGTGTGTTTGGAAGTTTGTTTTCTAGAAGCAGTCTTTCGAAATATTCTTTTCCATTTATGATTCCAATGTTTGATAATGCGATATTGTTTTTTCTCGTTCGATTTAATAGATTTAATTACTTTCAGGCTTCTGAGCTCCGTGCTCCACCTATGAATTGTTCTATATAATCGCCATTTATCCAGCCATAATTTATTCCTTCCTAGATAATACTTCTTGTTTTACTTCTCTACTTATTGCTTTGTACTGTAAATTAGTTTGGTTCTTTTGTCATAACGCCATTTTAAATACAGTCTCTTTTCCTCTTAAACGAAGCACACAAGCCTCCCCGCCCGCACGGACAGTGCTACTTCAAGGCGGTGTCCCCAGGGGAGGTAATAATATTTTAATAGATTAATTAGATACCTTAATTTATTTACAAAAATGTATCTTTAAACATACTTTATTAATATCTTTAGTATCAATATGTCTTACCATTTTATGATTTTTTCTTTGCCAATTTCATTTATTTTGTAAATTAAAAATTCTTAATAATTTTTTTCTTTCTGATTTTGATGTTGGGAGTTCATCTTAAACAAAGCTTGTTTGAGGCCTCTCCATTGTTTTTACTTCACTTATGTTTTCCAGTTTGTGACGTCTTAATGTTTCTTTCTTACTTTTTCTCAGACAACCTGATGATGTATACATTGTCACGGAACATTGTGTTTTTAGTGTATTGAGGCCAATAAAAATAAGTGTTCAAAAAAATACTTGAAATTTGCTTGTCTTTAAATGTTTGAGGATGCCATCGTGTTATAGAATTATTTATTTATTTTCCCTTTTAATGTTGTGTGTGCTTTGTTTTGGGAATTTTTTGTAGATACTGCAATCCAAAGTATGAATTTCCAACACAGGAAAGTGTGGTTGAAGGTGTGATTGAAATAGCCAGAAAACACATGAAATTGCACTCAAATACATTGTTTGTTTGTGGAACGTATACTATAGGTAAGTTTTTTGATTTTTAATGCTTACCAACAATAATTTAGGTACTTCATGTTTTATATGTAGTCAGTAGGTTCTTAGGTGGATCCACGTTAGTACGAGTGAAGAGCAAGAGCTTGTAACTACATTGTCCCTTTTGGACAATTCTTCAAGTAATAGAGTTACTTTAAATAAATGTTATCTTGACTGAAAAACAGTGGTGATTCCTGACTAAATGTTGAGGATAGACAAAATGGAGATTTCCGGATAATGGCCCAAGTTATTCAAAAAACTAGTATCGCATATTGATTGCATCACATTCCAGGGGATGCCGCTACAGGAGATGGCTCTTGGTTAGCAATCTCGCTTTCCACGTCGCAAGGCTGGCTCAATTTCTAGATGTGGCAACAATTAAGTTGGTGCTGTCCACTGCCATATCCCAGTTCATATAGCTGTGTGACAAAGTCGACTGCATCTCGCAGGTAGAGAATGCCAAATAAACGGCATAAGGGACCTGCTTATCACTGGAATTCCATGACATACAAACATACATACATACATTCCGAGTGAATATTCCCAGTTAGTCAGTTACGAGCTATCAAGAATAAATTTACAGTCTGAAAACATATTTTTCTTAGAAGAAATTAAGGGGAATACGAAATGTAATTGACCCTCTTCTGAAATATATTCATGATCCACCCGTTTCCATTTTAAATTATTGAAAATCTCGCTAGTACGTTGTACTATATTTACATCATTAAGTCGAGGAAACTGTTCATAGGAGTTCCGTCATAATATTGATGTAAAATATGTTTACATTTAAAAAAATCAAGTCGCATGCAAAATCCACAGCACACTGATTTTAAAATAAAGTAAGTAAATAATTACTTTCTCATTTGTGCACATAACTATTACACACGGGCCACACTGCTTATATGCCAGGTAATTTTTCCGTGTTGGCATTCAGTATTCTTTACCTACTGTAGCAGAACGTTTATGCGTCGAGAATGGACTAAGCGTGCAGACTCTAGTAGCTGTAAGTACTCAATATTATTCCACCTGAAGAAAAACAAACACATCTTTTTGACACCAAATAAAGTTCTTTGTGCTATGCATTCAGAATTCTTTCACATTCAGTCAGCCTACACACTGCTCTTTGGGTGTATTTCGTGAATGTTCATTCCCGCCTGAGATATGGCATAATACTCTAGGGAAATACATCTTATAGCTCCCAGACTTTTAGATTTCAAAAAAGAATTGTACGAATAATAAGCAAATCCCACCCACGTGGTTTTTGTAAGCCTCTCTTTATTAATCTAGGCATTTTACCATTACCTTGTCTCTTCATATATGAATCAGTGGTTTTTGTCAAAAATGACTTACTTAAGAGCGGGAATATACTTTCAGCAAACTCCGTTGTCTATAACTACAACACTCGACATAGTAATCATATTCATCAGGTGACAGTATCAACAGCTCACTGCAAAAAATTCACATATAATACATGTACATTATTTTACAACACCTTGCCAGATAACATCAAACGATTATATTCGATACAAAAGTTGAAGTGCCAAATAAAATATTTTCTGCTGCACAACAGTTTCTATACAATTAGAGACTATATTGAGCATCCAAAAGGAAAGTAATATTAATTTTAACAATGACATTTAATGTATTATATACCATTTGGATTGTATAATTGTAAAGAACCTTTAACAAGTATTGAACTTAAGCTTCTGGGTCAATGACCCCCATCTCGATCAGGTTTTCATCAAGTTTCCCTGATCCTTGAGCAAATGCTGAGATGGCCCCGTGTTTTACTTCTGGACATGAATGTAACTTCAAATTAACTTCTCCCCATTGCACATCACACAGTTTTTAACTGTTTTGGGCATAAATAATTAAATAAATAAATTAAACATTTTCGCGGACCGCTTACACTATAAAGAAAAAGTATTGTAAAGCTGCGATTTTTTTCACCGAAATGACGAACCGAAAAATGGCGAGTTTTTTACCGAAAAATTCTTATTTCTGGGCCCCATTAACGAAAAAGTTGATACATTTGTCTGTCCGTCCGTCAGGTCAACGCTAGCGCCTAAAACATTAAGATGTTTTTGGCGAAATTGATATTCCCCAATCGTTCTCAACTCGAGGCCAAAGTTGGAAACGGAAATTTTGATTGTGGAGTTGCTTCACATTAAGGTCCAACGTTTTCGAAACTTTCTCAAACATGACTTCTTTTTAATCTCTATTTTTTCGAAAATTGCAAAACTTCAATTTGTTCCGGCGTTTTGCAATATTGAAGATACATTTTTTTCTTAATGAAATTGTTGCTTAAGGACATGTTGAAATATAACAAAAGTATCGAGAGTATGAGTAGTTTTTGCGTGAAACAGAAGCAATTTTTAAACAATTATTTTCTCGAAAATGGCTACAAATTTTGGTCTTAATTTTGTTCCCACGTATATAGCAAAGAACGGTATAGAAAGCGGCCCTAGTTCAATTTTCACCGAACTCTGTGTTTTCGAAAATTGTAAACAACAAACCAGTGGTGCTACTGAATGTCACCGACTCTTGTACTTGTTAGTTTTCAAATCTCTTTATACCGGTTTAAATTTTCGGTTTTACTTCACCCTTTACCCAGCGGTCTAGTATTGCCGCCTAAATAATTTTTCTTTGGTTTTCGACTCCCTAATGGTGGAACCGAAATGGAAGGTGCAATCAAATAAAACTGATTTTCTGTAGGCCAGACATACCCACAGAGTGGAGTCGGACTGGTTGGGCGTGATGGCGGGGTCCCTCACGAACACGACGCGAACCTCCGCAGTACCCTGCGTGCCTTTGGAGAGTGAGCACATTGTTTCCCGTGAACCACTGTTAAGAAGTGTTGTCACTCTCAGCATGGATCGGAATCTCGAGCTGCACTACAGCGTGAAGTTTTGCTTCAAACATCGATATGATCACTGAGTCAGTTGCGGAAACAGAGGAAACCGCGAAACATGTGCGTTGTTCTGTGAAGTTGTAATCACAAATGGACTTGCAATAATATCAATACTATTGTTATTTACATTTTTTTAATGTGAAAATCTATAATTGCAGAAGTGTACGTTTGAGTTATTTCAACCACCATTCTTCAGATGTTGAAAATTGACTGATTGCCGTAAAATAAAGTTATATAATTGGAAAAATCAGTTTTCAAAATTCCTTCTCGTGACGAGTCAAGTGAAGTTTCCTCAAGATAGTGAGAATCGTCCATACGTATTATTAATGCTACAAATATGTTGGACTGTGAGAATGATGAATAACATACACTGCTGCTGTTGGTAACCCTAACGTATCAACTGATACAAGTAATAAAGAAACTGACCGAGTAAGTTCATCTTGTGTTTCTTCTCCTGTTTTCACTGATAGTTTACCATCTTCTCCTCTCTTCATGAAACAAAAATAAAATTTGACGCTGGGAATTTTCATTTACAGTGATTTTTTTAAAATAATTATTTCTTACTTGAAGATGTAATTCAGTGGCTGCTGTGAATTAATGTTTCGCATCCTTTTGTGCTATACTTCAGAGAAAGCAAAGAATTAAAAATTAAATAATTTTTTCTTCTGGATGCTTGAAACACGTCATGAATTTAATTCACCATTGCCACTGTAAATTCATAACACTAATCAAGTAAGTTTATGAGTGTTAATAGACATATTTTTCAGGTGGGTCAGTGCCAAGTATTACAAAACAATGCGAATTTATGCTTCCAAAAAAATGTCTTCAGTGTGAGTTCTGAATGGCATTTCTTCATTTTGCAACGTTTATGGAAAAGGACCTTAGGACTTAGTTAGGGGGGTGCAACTATAATATTTTTAATAAAAGCTAGCCTTTAATTCTAACAAGAACCTATTAATTTATCCAGGAAGTTATTTAAGTGGGATGATGATAATGTGAAGAACATTACCTTTATATTTTTAGCAACATTGAATATTTAGAAAGAGGACTATTGCAATAATGATATAATGATAATAAAAAAAAACGGTAAACGGCACAAAGAAAATACATAGTTTCATTTCTACATGAAGGGTCAATTAAACATATTCTCTGTAAAGTAAAGTAAAAGAAGAATCAATTTAATTAATTGTATCACATACTCTTTTACATATAAATATTCCGTTTGTTTAATACTAAATTGAATCAGTTTGACACATTTGAATTTGATTGGCTGTAAAGGTCGACAGTTTCTCCGATAAATTGCAGAAAAATGCCGTAAAAGTACCTTAAACAGACTACGTACCGTTCACGGTCTCCCCTCCCTCATTCGCGTGCTCTTCTCTTCTAACAAACTTTACCACGTATAACTATAGACCACACAAGCGCCTACATCGTGTCCAGGTTGAGGCGTTGCCACGGAGGTGAAACACCAGAAGCCAAAGTGAAGGTGGGCGTCGGACATACGGATATCTTGGGCAAGTAGGTGATGCTCTTTGAATTCCTTAACTTACTTTTCAATCGCTGATATATAGAATCTAAGGTCTTCTTATTGCCATTTCGTTGTGCGGTCTTGTCGCTACTAGATATCACGGCCCAAGCCCTATCTCTCCGCCCTTACAAAACATGCGTACGTACACTCTGCCGGTTGCAGCACCGAGGCGAACATTAAATAAATGTCACCGATGAGAGTTTCATATTGAATGGGGGATGCCTTCAGCGTATGATTTATTCTTCTGTTTCTTCTCTCCCTACCGTCTTCTGCCCTGTCTTTATCCATCCCAATACACATTTTTGTGACCTTTTACCATTTGGTGTACAAAAAGGTTTCTTTTTGAATCAGTTATTATGTATTGCATTAACTGTTTTTCATCTGTTTTAAGGAAAAGAAAAGGTTTTCATGGGTCTTGCTGATGCTCTTCAGTGTAAAGTATGGGCTTCAAAAGCAAAACTTGAGGTGCTGAGATGTTTTAATGATAAAAAATTGAATTCTAAATTGGTAGAAGATCCTTCAAAAGCTCAAGTTCATTTATGGCCTATGGGAAATCTCAATCATGAGGTAAGTTATATTGCTGCTCAGTATTTTGTGCATTATTAGTCATATTGTGTTCATTTTCTCAGAACATAGATTCTGATTAAGTAATGCTCGCTTAAAAAATTGGCGCGTGTTTGCAATTTGAATGTGATTAGCTTCTACCTCAAATTTCGAAATTAATATTGTTAGCTGGAGTAACCGAATGTTGCCTGTGTATATATCGTCAATCACTTGGATCATATCAGAAGTAATGGTAACTATTTTTTATCAGTCCATAAAGCAGCCAGAAACAAAAATCAGGAGATACGATTCCGAAGTCGCTGGAATATTCTTCGCAATGCTGGTACTAAATTGGGATCTCAGTTCAAGGCGTTATGGGCAAGGGACATTGAGTGATGCGTAAATAGAGATAATTTTGTGTGTGATTGTATTATATAAACACAAAACAGAAATACTCGTACTCTTACGAGCTAACAACCTTGGAAATAATCCCCTAAGCGTCCACACACCGTTGCCAACGACATCTGCTGACATCTGTGGAGTGTGTGTGCTGCGTCGATGCGCCCTTAGGATGCCCTCCCCGTTTGCACACCGCTTCCCACGCAGCGGCGTCTTCGTTTTTGGAATGCGATCCAAGTCGCGCGGACTGCGATCAGGGGGGTACGGAGGGTGTTCCAAGTTCTCCCACCCCACTACCGCACGAGGTTCTATTGTCTACATCTGCTCACTCGGACTTAACACCAACCGCCGGCCCTGCACGTTGCAGTGAAGTTTGGCCCTCCCCAACAGGATGGCACACGAGAATACCTTGGCTGTCATTCACCAAAATAAGCATGTCCTTCGTGGCTGATGGATTTTGTCGCAACTTGTGTTTTGGTGGTGAACTACGACGTCGCCGTTCATTTGATTGCCTCTTTAGTTCTGGTTCATGCGTTCGAGCCCACGTTTAATAAATTGCAATAATGCAATTCAATATCTCATTTCTTTCATTTTGGGATCGCTCCAGATTGATACCTGTCTCGAATTGAGTCAATTTTTGCACCTCAGTTAAAGCATGTGGTTCCCACTTTGCACAAACCTTGCGCATCTTCAAGTCGTTCTGTAAAATGTGGATCATACCAGTAAATGCGGCGTTCATCTGCTTAACAGTGTTCGATAACAGACACTTGCACCTCTGTGTGAGCAGACGCTGTGTGGGCGTCCACTGCGCGGCAGGCCAACACTTATACGCGCCCACGTTGCAAAGCCTCGAAAGCGACGTTCGAAAACGTTCTTGACGTCCTCTCCAAGTCCCTTCGCCTCAGGCAATTTCACATTTATAGGCTCCAATCTAGCACCAAATATAACTATTACCTTCCTAAGCATGCACCATAGCTCTGCCGATAAAAGAAACAAGTTATAGGTCCTATTGATACCAACATTCACACTATATGTATCAAATGTACGAATAAAAAAGGTAGGTAATTCAACCATACTGGAGAGATTTTAATTCCTTCATTTTTATAGCCATTTTCTTTTCGAAATACTGGGTATACTTTATACTATAAATATGTTTTCCTTCGATAAGCAAGAATAAACCCTTTCATTACAGTTATAAAAAACAAAAAATATAATATTTCTCTTTCATAAAGGAATGTAAGAATATCAGTGGAACATACTGTATCATCCGACATCACATATTTCCTTGATTTGATTGACTGTTAGTGATTTCGGGCACGTTAACTACTAATGATCATTAGTCCCGTAAATAAAGTATATGTTTTTGCACGGGAATAATTATCATTAGTCCCGTAAACGAAGTGCATGTTTTTGTACGGGAAGTGGCGGTAGTGTTTCCTCTGCTGTATGGAGAGATCCGGCGCCGACCTACCGTCGGTTAGAGGCGTTTTCCCTAACTAGGTATTTCCCACCATTGCGGTACCGCCCCCATCTGGCGTAAGCTCTTAACTTCCGACAAGTGTGGTAGTGTAGTACATATGAGTGATAGTGTGTGTAAGGGGTGAGGATAGGTCAAGGAAGAAGTCGGAAAGATAGCGCGCGGTCCGTGGCCAGTTTGTTAGGGTACTGCTCCAGTATTCACTTGGTGTTAATCGGAGGAACCAAGAAAAATGATCAGAGCAGCCGGCCGCTAGAATACTCCTCTAGACAGCGACTGAGTTCGACTTTGCTGCCAAGTTAGTGTCGAAAATCCTGTCAACGTCGGGACTCGAACCTTCCACCTCCCGGTCAGAGAAATTGCAGTCGACGCCCTGAGCCATCTCTCTCGCTTCGTATTACTCTGAGATGACCATATTATAATAAATGGTAATTTGCAGCAATTTAGCGTAAGAGCAACAGAGCGTTTCAACAACGCCGATAATGTGAGCCAGATACAGAGATTTGAGAGTGAAAAGCTAGAGGGAAAGGAATGAAAACGTGGGAATTTATTTGAAACTGTTGTAAGTTGAAAGTTGAAGCGTTAAAGAGCAACTTGCGCTGCACCTTAACGTCTGCACGTTTAAATAAACTGTTAGACTAAATGTAGAGGTTGTGATTTGAATCAGATTTGGTGTTTGAATGTGTTATACGCAGCATTTCTAAATTTCTCACAATTAAGCTATGAGTTTTGTAGTAATTTTTCTTGTGGTACTCGATTTTTCGCCTTCCCTCAATACAATCTCTAAGGCTAAAAACAAAATAAAGCTCTTTTTTATCATTAATTATCATTAATATTTTTCGTTGTTCTTGAGTAGGACCTCTTGTTTTGATGTCAGACTGCCCACTTTTCATTCTGGGTATCGGAGTTCAAGTTCCAGTCGATCCGGGTGGAATTCGTGGTGAACAAAGCATGTTCGCGTCAGGCTTTCTAGGGTTCTGCTATTCCCCCTATCATTCCAATATCATCATTTACACTATGTCAATGCCCACCCATCAAGAGCACTTATCTGCGGTAAGACAAAAACGGATTAAGACTGAGGTTCAAAATAAAGAATGTGTTCTCAGAGTTTGTGAACTTCAATTACGTTGAATATTGTTGTGTATGTATTGAGTTGTGTGTGTATGTGTATATAATTATAATAATTTATTGCGTAGTAAAGTAGCTTGTTAACATTGAGAATAAAAGAGGGTTGATAGCTGTAGCAGCATGCTAAAGGAGCGTTGTGGAAAGTAGTGGTTTTGCGTGGGGCCGCGTGCGCCGCGCCGCGCCGGCGCCATCGCCCGGCCCGGGCTCGTGCGCACGCCCTGCGCAGCGCAGCGCAGCTGAGCCGCCCAGCGGAGTGGCCACTGGCCGCGGCGTGCGCGCACGCGGCGCGGCCGACGTGCAGCGACAGGGCCACGCGTTCAAGGCGGCTGTATTCGGCACGCCGCCGCGCCGCCGCGCCGAGTAAATATAGGCCGCAAGCCCGATCATCGCCGGGCAGAGCGGCTCCGGGGGCTGCCCCTGTTGACTGAATGAGGCAGGGGGTGTGTCAGATATTCTTAGCTCGCAGCCGCCTTCGTTGCTCAGCGACGGTCGCCACCTGCGGCGCGACGCACGCTGCCTCGCCCCCACCTCGCTGCCCTTGCGGCTCCGCCTTCCACTTGCTCACAGGAGACGTTCCCTACTTACACACTGCTGCAGCGCTCTATGCTGCTTTTCCCTTTGTCAAGGTTCGTGGGGGGAATCCGCGCATTGTTGAGAACACATGCTCTACTAGCCCACTCGCTCTAAAATCGACAAAATCACGGCTACCATTCTCAGTATATGCGTCTACTGAAAAAATGCTTTATTCGCCAATTTATTATTATTATTATTATTATTATTATTATTATTATTATTATTATAGCTGTAATTTTTACTTTCTCGCACTTACTAACGTAAGAAGAGAAAGTATTGAAAAACGGCGAATTTTTGTCACAAACTGTTATTGCCCCTCCCTGGTAACGAAAAAGGGATAAATCCATGAAAAATAGAAAAAAAATCCTCTGACAGGTGGTGTAACCAGAATCTATGTTTTCTGTGTCATTCATACCGAAAAATCGATTGACGGCAAAACATGTCTCTCTGTCCATCTGTCAGTCCGTCTGTGCCCTACGCTAGTGCATAAACCGTTCAGGTGATTTTGTCCAAAATTGACATTCTCCAATCCTTCTGGTCGATGTCGCGGCCCATATAATTTGAAACCGATATTTTTATTTTGAATGTACTTTACACGCAGCCCCTTGGACATTATCAAAATTTAAAACCATAGTGCTGCCAAAGCACATACTTTCTCACATTGTTTCTAAAAGCTCGGCAACATATCCAAAAACAAAGTGTTGTCAAGCAGCTAATTATTTGTGGATTTACATGATGTTTTATTTGAATTGATCAAGGAATTAATTGGAAATAAAATTTTTATTCTTGCTTTATTATTTGTGTAGGGTATGATTTAAATATATTGATCATCTAAAGGATATATTACGTAGTAATTAATATCATACAATTAAATTATTTTGGATATAGGATTTCCTTAAGTATTGACGAAATGCGTGCCAGCTGCCACGGTTAGACGTAAAATAAAGTGAATATTGTTTATTAGAAGTTAATTATTGTTTTTGTTGAAATTATAATTAGTTTTGGTGAAATAAATATAGTATGTTTGGTTGATTATTGGGACATGAGGCTTCAAAATGCATTTTTTTGCATATGTCATGATTGCATTTGTGGGTAGAAATGCTTCAAATAATTTTCAATAAAGTTTCTCGAATCCCTAATAGTTTTCTACAACAACACTTTCATCAAATTAAAATCCCCGTGTGGGACTAGAAGTGATGAACCCGAATATGCCACTTAACAACATCGGCCATTCACAAGGATATGACCTATGCACTTCCATATAACTCAAGACACAACAGTTTCAAATCTAGCATTACGGAGGTAAGAAAATTTAAGACAATGGGGTTAAAAGTCTCAAATTCGAAAATCAATTATACATTTCAATTCGTTTTATCTTAATTGATTCTATTTGTTAGTAGAGACGCTTCAAATAACTTTCAACTAAGTTTCTGCAAATTTCAAGTGT